TTCTTGTTATTCATTCATTCCTTTAATGAAGGGGATATTAAACATTGAATAAGGACAGCCAGGTACTGTTCTGGGTGTTAGGTGTATAATGGTGAACACAACGTAGTCTTTCCCCTCCTGGAGCTTGTGTTCCAGTGGGGAAAGCAGACGATAAACACTATACCAAAATTAGAAAATCTTTTATGTTTTTAATATTAATGTTTATCTGGTATGCTAAAAAATTAAAGGTGGGAGTGAGGTAAATGAAGCTCAATGGAACATGCTAGAAAGAAGTAGGGCCGAGAGGACAAATCCATTTGGTTCTCCTTTCCTTGTTTTTCTTTCAATATTTTTGAAGGCAATAAGTTTTTTTCCCCCAAAAGCTTCTAATGAATGTCAGGATTAAAAAAAAGAATTTATAGGAGAGAGATTAACTACAGCTCTTAAAATAGCTCTTTGTTTCTGAAAGCGCTGTTCTGCCATCTATCTTATAACTGAGGAGAAAAAAGCTCTCCAGAACTTAACTTGTATAGCCCCTGCCACTAAGGAGGATGTGCCCTGATGTGACCTCGAGCACAGGCTGATGTATTTAAAAAATGTATAGGGTAAGATTTTTTCCCTATTTTTCTTAATGGCTTTTACCAAAGAACAATAGATCTTAATATGTGACTCCTTATTTGTTGTTATTGAATGTGGTGAGTATGTGTGTGTGGGGGGTGAGATGATTTTATAATACTGTATTAGAAAATATTAATATAGGCACTCATTAACATATTTTTCAGACAGAATAATCTCCGCTTTTGAAGCCTCTTCATTTAACTCAAACACCAGATAACTTCTTCGTGGCCTGTATTATGCTGGGTGTTCTCTCTGCAAGAGCCATTTCTGGTCATTTAATTAAATATCTGTTCAGCGAATATTTATTGTGCACCAGCTGTGTGCCTGGCACTATGCTATGTTCTCAGGTGCAATGTGTACCTCCATCAACATAGGTGCAAATCTAATGATTTCAATGACTCATTAATACCTTTCTTTAAAGCAAAAAAATGGTGTTTTATGAGGATTGAAAAAGGGACATTTTCTATAAGATACAAGAAAGAGAGGAATTAGGCTCCCGAGATAGATGTGGTCACATACTTGGTAGTCTTTAGGCTACATAAGCCTTTAAAATGTAGCATCCAGATTTTGAGCTGGTTCTCTACTCTCTCTTTCTGGTGCTCCTATTAGATGTGTATTGAACCGTCTCATTCTTTGTCTCCTAGCCTCTCATGTCTTCTGTCTCTTTGTCCCTGTGTGTTGCGTTCTGTATAAGTACCTCTCCAGCTGTAGTGTGCTCATGATTCACTGGGGGTCTTGCTAGAAGGCAGGTTCTGAATCAGTGGGCCTGGAGTTGGGCCTGAGACTCTCCATTTCTTACCACCTCCCAGTGATACTGGTGCTGCCAGTCTACACATCACACTTTGAGGAGCATGGTTCTATGTGATTTTCTCAGATCTAACTGCTCATTCACTAATTTTATCTTCAGCTGTATCTAATCTGCTATTTAATGCATCCAGCGAGTTTTAAAGTTTAAATTCAATAACCATACTTTTCATTTTTAAAAGCTCCATTTGATTCCTTTCAAATGTGCTCAGTCCTTTTTCAGAGTGTCTTGTTCTTTTATTAGAACTTCTACTCACTTACCTTGATAATAAATTTTATGGTCCATTTTAGATTGTTCTTTTATCTACAACTTTTGGAGGGCTAATTTTCCCAATTCTTATATCTGCTGATGTTTCTTCTTGGTAGTTTGGGTGATTTCTTTTTCCTTGTTATGTGTAGTTGTTGGTTTTTACTTTTGTATGGTGAACTCGTTTCCAATAGGGATTGTGTGTGTGTGTGTGAGTGTGCGAGACAGAGCAAGAGACTCCTGTGTGCCCTGAGTTGTGCAAGTGCCGCTACAAATATGTCTGCCAGTACCCTAAGGGCTCAGTGATCCTGGACCAGTATTGATGTTAATTTCTGGGCTTGTAGTTCCCACACCATTCAGGATACTTTAAATGTACACACCCTACCTGGGGCTACAGTTTTAATAGCCACGCTATTTCTTTCCCCCTAAAGGGTCCTGGACAAGGGTGAGCATCCATCACTTTCTGGTAGGTAGAGAATTTCCATTTCCCCCACTTCTCTTTGGCTTGAGACTGTGGCTCTTTTCCCTGCCTAAATGTGGCCCTTAGAAGCCCTTCTTTTCAGAGTTTCCTGTTGGATTCCACTGACTACGTAGAGGTTTACGTCCCTAGCTTTTAATCTGTTCTGTGAATATCTCACCTGTTACGGCTGGTATATTTCATGTTGATGTTACCTTCCTCTTATTGAAGATTATCTGGCTCTTTTTCTAATCTCGACCACATGGGTTAGCTTTCAGCATGATGGAGTTTTAAAGAGGAATCTTATTTTATGGTACGGAATTTCTAAATCATAATTATTTCACAGAGGGTGGCTCCTACCCCTATGTTAATCATACTCCTTACTCAGAAATGGAATTCAATTTTAGTCTCCTAAAGATAAATTAATATATAGTATAAAGGGAATTAAACTTTTGCTAGGAATGAAATGATATGATTAACACAAACATCCACAGGAATGTGTCTGTGCCTTGCGCAGGAAAGAAGAATATTCAATAGAGATTCTGCTGTATCTCACTAGCCTTTCAATAACTGCAGGGTCTGTCATAAACATGTATCTCATGTGAGCAATAATAATAATGGCAGGTAGTCTTTTTACAGTATGCTAAGAACTGTGCTAAGCACTTTATATAGATTTTTTTCATTTAAACCTCCCAACAGCCCTTTGAGGAAATTATGTATATGTTGAAACTGAGGCTCAGAGAGGTTAAGTGACTTTCCCAAGGTCACAGAGCTAGTAAGTGGTGGAGCTGGGATTTGAACCCATTCAGTCAGATTTCAAAGTATGTGCCATTAACCGTGATGCTGCCATGTTAGTATCATCTGCAAATCTCTCTCCATACATTTCTTCAGTCTTTATCTGTGTCTCCTTATTTTGGGACAGGAAACTTCTCTTTTTAAAATTTTTATGTATTTATTTATTTGTGAGGAAGATTAGCTCTGAGCTAACATCTTTTGCCAATCCTCCTCTTTTTGCTGAGGAAGATTGGCCCTGAGCTAACATCTGTGCCCATCTTCCTCTACTTTTCTATGTGGGACACCGCCACAGCACGGCTTGATGGCATAGGTCTGCACCTGGGATCCAAACCAGAAAACGCCGGGCTGCTGAAGCGGAGCGTGTGAACTTAACCGCTATGCCACCGGGCCAGCCTGGAAAACTTCTCTTTTTTATTTTTATAAAATGTAATTTCCATTAAAAAATTTTTTTTCGCTTAAAAAAAAAAGGTATTGGGTGATTGAAATCAGATTGGATTGGAGCCTGTGTTGCTGGAAGTACACATGGGATGCGGGCTGAAGCAATGAAATTTTTCTCAGCTAATTTTTAAAGTGTTAAGCAGGTAGATTCTGACACTAACAGGGAAGATGTCAATTCTTGTGAGAGCTTGGAGGTGTTAAATAATCTTCTGGTCGTGCACATTTTACATTTTCAATCTCTCAACTCTTCTCAGTGCACCTGAAGCTCTGAGAATGTTCTTTTGCACTTCCTGGGAGCAGCCAGAAGCCTCCTTCTGGCTTCCACTCCTCTCCCCTCCACATCCCTTAACTACTCCATTTTCTTCCTAATGCTGCTTCGGATGTTGTCATCGGGGGAACTTTGGAAACAGCCAGATTCTTTTCAGTCTGTAAGCAGAAAACAGATTGCTGCTCATATCTGGCACACAGCTTTGTCCAGAAAGCAAGGGGTTAACAAAGAAGTCTGGACCGTGAACGGCTGTGACAGCTGTCCTAGGGGGCGCTCTAGCGAACTCCGGCAGTGACTCATGCTGCTCTGTCACTCAGATCAGCATTGGCCCCTGCCACGCAGGCGGCCAGGTGGGGTTACAGCCAGAGCACGCACAGAGTGGGGAGCATGAAGCCTGCACTGCGGGCGAGGTGATGCCCAGCTCGCCAACTCGCTCGGCTGGCCCGCCACAGACGCTTCAGCCCGCATCCATGGTAACGCTTCTGGCCGGCTACACCCCCGGGAGCCCACCACAATGGGCAGCCTCCTGGTGACTGACGGACGAGTGTCCACCTCCCTGACGACCGAGAGAGCATAGTAGGTCTGCAGGAAGTGGAGAAGATGTAAGATGCCCCTAGCTGGGAGTCATGCCTTAACGAGGTAGGACGCAGATGTCCATCGGTGCATTACCCCCATCACCGCGCAGGGGTGCTGTAAATCACCGCGAAGAACTTTATTGGGCTGGTGTTTCATTATGCTGATTAAACTGCGGTGGATTCAGGGGGCATGAGAGAGCTGGGGAGGAGGGATAATGAACTAAAAAAAAAGTGGTTAGTAAGAGCTCCGAGTATACTCATCTGGATATGAATGAGCTAGACTGCAGTGCTCTCCTAACACGAGTTACCTCCCTCCCAGATCGTCTTTCCTCCTCCTTCCTCTCATTCCGGTCAATCCATGAGATGTAGAAATTCCGTCTTCTTTCAGTGATTAGCACTAAATATTCATAATTTAGACGTGTCTGGAAGAGGAAATAAATAGGTTTAAGTCGTCTGGCATGCTGGCACCAGGCAGCTGATGCCCTGTAGAGAAGCATTGTGGAAGTATCAGGAACGAGCAGCTAGCTCAGATGAGTTCCCCGATGCTTTCGTTCCACCAAGTGACCTGTTTGAGTTTATCCTTCCGTTTACCCCAGCAGGGAAGGCAGCCTGTCTGCGGGTTGGTGGCCATGTTGGCAGAGCAGGGGTTAATCTCTTGTTGCTGTAAGAGCCGAGGCTGGGTCTGCCTGTGTGAGCTCGATTGAGAGCCGGCGCTGCAGTGCCTTCGCGAACGCGGAAGGAGTAAGACGATTTTCTCCGCAACAGTGTTGAATCCGTCTGAATTTCTCTCTCCCCCCCTTCTTGTTTTTCTTTAACCAGCTCCTCCCCCGTTCGTTCCCACCCTCAAGTCTGATGATGACACCTCCAATTTTGATGAACCAGAGAAGAATTCGTGGGTTTCCTCCTCTCCGTGCCAGCTGAACCCCTCAGGTTTCTCAGGCGAAGAACTGCCGTTTGTGGGGTTTTCGTACAGCAAGGCACTGGGGATTCTTGGTAGATCTGAGTAAGTGAAAATTTGACTTTCTAAGGGACCTGCATTGATGCAAGGCAGAGAGCCCGAAGGTGGTGGTGGTGGTGGTGGGGTGGGGGAGTGCAGTGGAGGGAAGCTGTTCATCAGCCTGCCTTTGGAAAGCAATTTACCTGTTTGGGCTTTGGTGGGGTAGACTGTGAATATTCTCATTTTACTGTTTAAGGTACCTCTTCCTGTCCGTAGCATCATAATCATCAATTGGGTACTTCGGGTTAGTTTTTCAGTCTTTGGTCTTCTTTAGAGGAGAGGAGATACTGGGAGGTATCCAGCAGTGCAGATCCTGGGTGGAAGGAGAATTGTGCAGTGTTAAGATGAGCTGTCCATCTATTTATCCATCTGTGTATCCATCTCTCTCTCAGATGAGTGGATGGAGGTTGCTATCTAGGCTGTATAGAAAGAATCCTGAAAACTGTACCTCACAAGCTAAAGGTTTCCTGATGGGTTTAGCTGAGCTGCAAGTGGCTGTACTGGAGCTCCAACAGATAGGTGGTGCTCAGCTCCGCTCGAAGTCTGCTGCAAGATCCGGGATCTGGCAGCTGAGCCGCTCTGAGCTGGCAGAGTGCTGGTGGACAGAGAAAGCCCCGTTACCGTGAGCCACCGAGAGGGAGTGTGATGTAGCCGAGTCATTGATTCTCAGAAACTGGGCTTCACAGGGGAAAAAAAAAAAAACCAAACAAACCAGGAGACCGGAAAATGGAAGTATAAATATCACTGTAAACCTCTTGACCTGATAAGTCCGTCTCCACTCTTATAAAAGCTAATGAAAAATGCATTAGCATGGCACTTGGGACCAGAGGGTCCTGGCTTCCAGCCTCCTGGAATTTCTTTAAAATGCATAGCCTCTGTGGGTGTGAGCTCAGTGTCTTGCTTCGTTCTCATGATCTGATGACATTCTGCGTTCAGAGGCGCAAGTTCCCCGGAAGGTCTTGGACGCTGTGTTATTCCCCCGATGCCCTGGCTCCCTTACTTGGAGGCTCTTGGGGAAATGTTGGGTAATCAGTCGCTGCCTACTTAGGAGATGAGCAGAATTTGATTTTCTCCTTGGCAGCATTCATTCTGGATTTATCGTGCTTGTAGCTTAGATATCGATTTGAAGGGATCTCATGTTGGTTCTTGGATGGTGTCTTCCCATGGGTGCTATTTTGACAGAAATGTTCCTGAAAAGATTTCAGACTATTGTGGGGAATTGGGCATTTGATATGAAATAGCGTTGTGGGATGTGATTGACTTGGAGAGAGATTTTTATATTGAAAGATGCTGAGGTGGTCCTTCTTTTCTCCCTCCCTGGGGGGCTGGGTTTAAAATTCAGGGTTCGATTTTGGTAGTGTCGGCTGTGTCTTTCTGGCTAATTTGCTCTGCAACCCCAAAGCAGTCTGGATGATGGGAAGAGAGGCAGAAAGCTAACTAGCTGTTGAATGTGCCGTTGGATGGATTTGAAATGGGCCGGCAGGGCTGGGAGGGTTTGCACTGGTCCCGAAGAGCAGGGCAGAAGTGGAGCCCTGATGTTAAAGATGCGTGGTTAGTGGGCAGCTTACCCTTGACACACAGCACACTGAAGGTCACAAATCGAACCGGAAGGTGGTGTGTGGAGAGTTCTAGCTCTGGTTAGTAGTGGGTCGGAATGAAAGCTTGCTGGGGGTGCATATTGATCTGGAAAACCAAGGAGGACTTGAGAGAATTAGATTTCAGGGGCCAAAGGCAGAATGATGTGGGGGATCTTAGGCATTGCAATTAGTCTGAGGCAGTGTGTGATTAATTGCTTATTTTTCAGGAAGACTGTAATTGCATCTTTCTGCTTCTCGCAGAAAACTCACTTAAGGGAGCTCTCCGACAGGGGCATCTCAGTGTTAAGGCCCAAGCACTCGATAAATATTTGTTGATTTAATTTACTCATGATCCTTTCCTCTAGATTGTGTTTATATTGCTTACTGTATTTGAAGATATGCTATTTCACCTTTGCTAGTTCAAAATATATCTCTAGAGCATAAAATGAGCTTCTGTTAATGCCCTAACAGCATGCTTAATATTCTCATGAAAAAAAGTCCATGCAAGCAAAACTGTGTATTTCTTATCTGAAAGATGAAATTGGAGTATTCCTGTCTTTGGGGGAACTTTAGTGCCTTTTCCATGGCAATCTGGGGCTGGAATCAGAAGGATTTTTTTCCGTCTTATGTCTTTTAATGTGATCTTGCTCTTGCGTTTGGCTATTCTGCCATGGACAGCCCTGTGGGTTGTCCTACAGCATCAATTTTAGAAATTCACTCCACCTGTTGGAGTAGGCCACCCTGGGCGTATTGGATTATCATTAGTTAGAAATTCAATAAAAGAGGTGGAGTGATGAAATTACTTAGAAGCCCCTGCAGTTTTGTTGACATATAGTTACAAAATTCATTTGGAGGTGGATGGAGGCAATTTCTGGGGGTACCACAGTTGCCACTAGGGACTTGGTGTTTCTTCCCGAGCTTCTCTTTCTCCCCTCCCTGTTTTCAGCATCACAGGTTTTTATTTACACACATTCGTTACCTGTGCTGTTACTCACTCTTCACACCACTGAGGAAATTGCAGATACTGCTGTACTGAGCTGGGTAAATTGACCCCAGAACTGTTACCAGTGAATTGAATGAAATGTTCAGAAGTGGTACTGAATGAACGAGGAATTGTCATGGAGACTCTGGCAGTGAGAATGATTTTAATTGTTGCGATAGCTCATCACTTTTTAGGATCCTTTTTTGGGACCCCAGACTGTTTCTAAGCCAACCACTGAATGCATCATTATTTTAGGTTTAACAAGAATCCTGATCTCAGCATTCTATGTTTGAGGCATAGTGGGAGTTCCTGGCAGCTTGAGTTGGAGGGAGCAGGAGAGATTCTTCAGAACTAGTTTTGATAGTCTTTGTGGTGGAATTTTGGTGAAGTTAGTGTTAGAGAATGAGTGAGTATCTATCTGGTGCCTCTTTTTCTTTTTAACCAATGATAACCCAAACAAAACCCCAAGCTCTCAATGCCTGGTTGTTCCTCTGAGCCTCTGTTTGCTTGGATTTTACAATAGTAGGGTAGTAACAGATATCAGTGTGTTAAAGGTTTAAAAATAAAATGGATCCTAGCTCTCCTGCCTCCCCTCTCAGGATGGGGTGTATTTATTTAGGTCCCTTCTCCTTCCTCCTAGATCTGAGGTACTGCCTCATTTAAGCTCTTGCGGAAACAGTGCATTTCTGCAAACCTTCAGTATAAACTGTAGAAGGCAAAAACCAATTGGTTTTATATTTTGTGTTAGTTTTACAGATGCTGATTTTATGCTTTTGGAGAACTTGGAAATCTTAGAGGAGCAATGGGATCTCGATGAGACTGACATCTGTAGGATGACAGTGTCTGAATAGGCTGTTTTTAGGAAGGGGGCTCTCTCTTCCTTTTGGCTCAGTGCTTTTTCCTTTCCTTTTGGGTGAATCTAAAAATTTCAGTTCGGATCCAGCCATCCAAACACTGTGGAGGAATGAAAAATGGCTGCCACCATTGCCTTATCAGATTTTCAGAGAACCAGTTTTTGATGCCTCTTCCTTGCTCTACTGGGGCTTCTTTGCATGTTAGTTTCCTCAGCTGCAAAGTCGGGTAATAATGACACCTGCCTCTGAGGGCTGCTGGGAGGATTATATGAGATGTATAAAGCGCTTGGTCTAGTACCTTGCACGTGGAAAAGTCTCAATCAACGTTTACTATTATTATTTTTGTTGTTACTAATGTGCTAGTCTATATATGCATAATGTCCTTCTTTTTATGCCAAGAGATTGTGGAAAGAACTCAGCAATAATTAAGTAGTCCAAAGTCACACCAGACCAGAAACCCAGCTTCCCAAGCCTTGGGAATTTTCTGCTAGAGAAGCTTAAACGTCCTGACGAACTACAAGTTAATATGCACTTGCTAAATACCTGTAGATAAAAGGTGACTGTTGCAGTGGAGTGGATTGGGGGACAAAATTAGAAGGCCCAGTCCCAGAATGGGTTCCTTTTCATCGAGTTGAACAAGCCATGTGTGTGAAACAATTCAGAGGAAACAAAGCAAATATCTTTGCTGCAGAATATTATGGTACAAATGGGATGTCTAACAGCTTTAGGAGAGTCAGGAGAGAAAGGCAAAATCCGATGCGGGGGACACTTAATGGATAATGCCAGTTCACAGTTCTTGCCAAATTACATGATGATCTTTGTTGGACTGTCTGTCCATCTCCCCAAGTCGACTGGTCTCAAGGGCAGGGCTGGGGCTGATTCATCCTGGTTTTGCTGGAGCACAGGACATGTAGACCCTGAGTAAATACCTGTGTTGAAACTGAGCTTTTAAGTGTACTAATGGAAGGTAAAATGTTTGGCTTGACTGTTTAAAAGACAGTGATTTGGATGAGTGGACAGGAATGTAGAAAGAATTTCACCTGAAGGTGGGCAGAGTGATAACAGCTCATCCTTACAGGCTCTGTTCCAAGTACTTGACACAGATTAACTCATTTAAACCTCAGTGCTTTACACAGATTAACTCATTTAAACTGCACCACAGCCAACAAAGAAGGTACCATCATCATTCCCATTTTACGTGTGAGGAGACTGAGGCATGGAGAGATTAAGCGACTTCCCCAAGGTCGCGCCGCTCTGAGTGGCTCAGCTGGGAGTTGAACCCGGGCAGGGTGGCTTCAGAGTCTCTTTGCCACTGTGCTCTGCTGTCAAGTATAAATGCCACAGACAGGAGAAGTTAGGAGATTTGTGTGGGGTCCCCAGGTTCACATGCTTGTCAAAAGTGGAAGCCCATTGTGGGCATTGACAAGCAATGGGATTGGGACAGCGTGGGATGAGAGCTGACAGGTCGTCTGAATGCTGGCTTTTGTTTTCAATCTCTGCGAGTTTATTGAGTAGGTAGACTGCATAGCTCTTGGAGTTTTCTGATTTATTCCTCTTTTCATTTAGAGACTCTTACTTGGTGTATGTGTGTAT